ATCAGTGCACTCGTTTCGTTCTCTGATCCTCGGAACCAGCTCTTACTCTTAGCCTCAGTCTTCGAAAGCACTCTGTTTCAAGGTTTTCAAAGTCTTCGTTCTCCCGCTTCTTAAAAGCAATCTCGATGGCAAATCTGTCTATGCTGACTTCCAGCTCGGCTGCTAGCGCTACGAGCAACAGCAGTTGCAACAGCGATACTAGCAGGAAGGACAGACGGCCAAACGCCGACGCCAGGAGGCTCCGGACAACAAAAAAAGGCTTCAGCCCGTTCTTTGTCGGGTACAGAATTGGTAGATTCGACGAGGAACTGAAGGGAGTCCAGCAGAGGTCCTTTCGTGGACCTCCTGGCTTCTCCCCCCTGCGTCCAGCTGCTGTGATTACTCCGATAGAAGCTGCTGCTCATGTCGCCTGTGATCTGCCAAATGGGCAACAACAGGCGACACGGCAGGAGAAGAAGCAACGGTCGCCAAAATTGGCTTCGCTGGCTGCGATTTCAAGCATGCCATCGAACATCCCAAGGCCTGCATGCTCAAGAATGTCTCTGAAAGTCGCTAAGGCGAATGCTACAAGCAGCACTAGATCAGCAAGTGTTACTGAAACTGGAAGCTCTTTGGCAGAGAAGGGGTTATCGAAGCTACAACAAATGAAGGTGATGTTTGAGATTTCCAGATAGACCAAAACGAAAACATCTGTGCCTGTTGCTGCTGTTGCGGCATGAGCTAGCGAGAACCAAGGGAAGGCGAAGTTGGCTGACTTTTTGTTGACAGCAAGTTGTTTCTGTGATGGCTAGCCTTAAGGCGGCGCTGGCACAGAGACAACAGTAGCATAGCATGTCAGATGCTTCTGTGTGCTAAATAATATGGATACCTAATTCATAGTTGTAGTAACTTGTACATACTCTTGTACGATATGTTATTGCACGTTATTGTCTTGAAGGTTGGGGAAGGATACTATTAGAGTTACGATCTTGCAGAAATATGTGCATGTGGAAAACGTATTCAACACTTCTATCCCCCTCCCCCCATCATATTTCCTGTTTCCCAGCTTCCCCCCTTACCTTTTCAGTCGTCCCCACCTTGACTGTGTCTTCCCTACCTTTACAGTCTTTCCTACCTTAATTTATTGTCTTTGCTGCTCTCCCTCCTTCAAGCCTAAGATTGCAATGGTTATTGTGGGTTTCCAGCCTGGTTTCAGTGATATTAAAGCTCGAGTCTCATATTTCTTCGTGAGAACCAAGTGTTGAACGCTTGGGACCCGGTAATAGCCTGTTTTGTCGCATAACACCCCCAAGCAAGGGTTAGGGTTGGTAAGTTTGATTGGGTGTGGTTTGGCCCTGCAAACCAAATGTACTGTACAAACAACGTGGGGTGATCCCTTCGCCAAACCACGGTTGGAGACACACCTGCGCGACGAAACCACAGAGTGCGACAACAGAGTGTCGCACTCTCTCGCCTGCACACCAAGCATTTTACAAGGGTCGGAAATATGAGACGGACATCTCTACCATACCCACAAGGAGCGGGGTTCCCACACAATTTCAAGTGTTTTATTTACGAGTAAGTATCTGTTGGGTGTGTATTACTGAAAATTCGTGTTTTCTACCCATAAGTATTTTCATTGACTGGCACTTTACACGAATTCTCACACGCGACATCCAGATTAGTGTCACGTTTCATGGATACAGGCAAACAATTTTGCCACGTGTTTGACGCGATTTCTCAGAAACATTTTGACGCAGTAGACAAAAAAATAAAACCCTAGGGAGACGGACTCATTATGGGAAGCATCAACCCTAAACACAAGAATGACCAGGTAATTAGGGCTGATTAATCGAAAGCGTTACATTTCGTAAGGGATCAACCTTAAACATGGGAACTGGCAAGATGTTTAGGGTTGATTCGTCGAAATTAGTCATTCGTTCCCGAAGTGTTTTATTTTTTTTACACCCTAAAAGAAACATCTGGTTCAGCCGCACCTAAATTTTGCAGGCACATGAAATCTACACGAGCATGGACATGCGGCGAAAAGAATCGCCCGTAGACATGAAACGTAACAATAATATGGGTGTCGAAAATGAGAATCAGCAGAAAGTCACACCAAATGGGTAAACTTGGCACTGTAAACAGCATTTTTTTTTCATGATGCCCACCTAGTATGTACTTACCCTTTATTTACTCTTTACGTTCACCTGTCCTAGAGTTCGATTCCCAATCAGGGCCAAACCTGTCCCCCAAGGCTTGACTTCCACCCAAACCTGCCCAACCTGGTTTGGTTTGGCCTAGAACACAGCGGAGTTCGATGTGTTTGTTTCACCTGCTCGTCACATATTTCGTCATTCGCTACCCAATCACGGTAGGGCAAACCCAACCAAGTGTTGAATGCTAGGAAATCTGAGATGCGAGCTTTAACTCATTCTGGCAATTGATCCCAGTGACTGGTTTTAATATCACAGTCCAACAGTCACTGATTCTAGTGTAGATACCCATTTCAGTTACTCATTCAAACAATTGGTTCCAGTGATTTCTTGAAGTGACACATCCAGTCATCGAGTTTGTGACTGATTCCAGTAACTTGTCTTGTTGACTTTGCCCAATAATTCACTGATTGCAAACTAAGTGCTTTAGTGGCCCATTCCAGTCACCAATTAGCTTCAGTGACTTATTCAATTAGTCACTGCGATTCCAAAGGCTTGTTTGATCTACCAACTGATTCCATTTACTTATTTCAGTTACTATTTTTAGCTCCAGACTTATTTCAGTGACTCATTCACTCACTGACTGACTGTTTTCAGTGACTCATTCCAGTCACTGAATATCATGAGCAGTTGCGATGGCACATTCCAGTAATTGCCTTTAGTCAGTTTTTCCAGTAACTCATTCCAGCCACGACTCACGATTCTAGTGGCTTGTTTCACTAACTCATTCCAGTCACTGGTTTCAGTGTCTTGTTCCAGTGGCTTGCCACTGACTACGGTGGCTTACCGGTATTTCGTTGACTTGTTTTGCTGACTTGTTCCAGTATCTGACTTCAAGTGACCTGTTTCAAGTGACTCTTTTGGTTCAATCTCCATCTCCATGTACCTATTACGGTTACTAGCGCCAAAGAATGATTCCAGTGACTGGGTGACACATTCAGTCGTCGAGTGCCATGATTTTTTTCAGCGACTCGTGCCTGTCACTGATTAGTGACTTTTCCAGTCACGGATTTCAGTCATGTGGTTCAGTGGCTACTTCCAGTCACTGATTCCAGTGATTCTAATGAATCCAATAACTTCGTTTCAGTTTTTTGTTTCAGTAACTGATTCCCATGGCTCGTTCTACATGCTAACCGATTCCAGTAATCGAATGTCATTGACTTGTTTCACTGACTCATTCTAACACTGAAACCAATAAACTTGTTTCAGTCAATAACCCCACTTTCTCCATCTCAATTCTTTGCTCCAAGCCGATTCATGGTGGCAGATATGAGTGCAGCAGAGGAGGCGCGTAAGGCGGGCTGAGTGAGAGACAGCATAGCAGCCATGCACTTCAATGACCATAGCAAGAAACCTGCAACTTTTTCCTAATGCTTGGCTTCAAGCTAAACTTCTCTGCACTTGCTTCGTTGCTTCCCTTGGAAGTAATCACTTCACAACCCAATTGGATATACATTCCCTACATCACCTATACTCGCTTCTGGTGAAAAGTCCACCAGTTTTTTTCGTTTCATTGTTCAACTAGATATTACGGTTTTCTCTAACTGTCCAAATCTTATTCCTTTTCCACTCCTTAACCGTGCTCTTCAGCCCAGCAGAATCCGGCAGCTAACGGCAAAGCACGACAGTTACATTCCATCCGAGGATAATCAAAATCAGCAGCAACTTGGTGGAATGGTCTCAACTGCAGGAGAAGCACGTGGGTTGTGGAATTCCCAAGGCTGTGCATCTGATGGAGCCGAGGAGCAACGGCACAGTACAGTGAGATGAGGATGATGTTGGGGAGGATGATGTGTTAAAATTATATCGAGGATGTCTCTACAGGAGAGGACTCAATTGGATTAGAACTGTGGATCGCGAAAGGCGTGCGTTAGATGGAGCAAAGGAGCCGAGGCAGAATGCAGTGAGATGAAGGTGATGCTTATCACTTCTTGAGAGGAATAAAAAAACGTTGGAGGTTGTAGTGACGAGTAATTTGTCATCCTACTAAACTCGAATAAAACTCGTACAAGATCAATTCATTTTCCTTCGCATCCCACTTTGCACAAGAAATGCTAATATAAAATGGCAGACATAAGTATGTCAAATTGTGTGTATATGTTTGTTAGATATATAAGGCTACATTGAAGTGCACGGTATAAAGTGCTGAAACTTTCTCAACACTCCTTGTACCTTTCCATGCCTAGTCTATACAGATTCCGCTTCCTATACTCTGGTAAGGACACGTCATCTCCCCGAAATTCCGGCGATCGATAGTGCGATTTCGATCAGCCACCGCAGTGAAAACCCGCTTTTAGCATCCACAACCTTTCAGACCTTTTAAAAGCCTACCCGATAATGAACCTGCGCAGGATCGATTGTGCAAGCGTAGGGGGAGTTGACGCGTCCTAGGGTTCCTACCGAAATGGTATCAGGTTTAGGTGTACCTTATGGTCTTTTTTCCACACGGGTAGTTGTCGGTGACAGTGAGAGTGACGGTCGGTGAACGAACGTCTGGTTACATCAAGGTTCCTCGTGCAGTCATGACTCATCAGCTGGTGGTTGTGCTGCCTGTGCTGTTTGGGCGAGCGACGCGTGGTTTGGTTCCTGGTTTGGTCTGCTTTGAGGCACGGTACAGAGGCAGATTTTGGTCGGGTGGTAGGGGAGACACAAATCCACGGCACGGGTGTGTCCCGAAGGTGAACTCAGTCAGGTTCGGGGTATGATGGTGCAGCCCAGACTTGGCAGGCTTGGGGAAAAGTTTGGGTTCGGAAGGCGTGGATGATGTCAACGGAGTTCCCAAGGCTGGCACCAGGCAGAAGGGAAATGGCAGACATGGAATGCCAGGCAAAGCATGCGTCGGGAAGGCATATCGCTGCAGGAATCGCACCAGACATACCTCTGCAAGCCGTAGGTAGGAGAATAGCATGAGGTATATGTGTTGGGCGTAGCAGGGAACTGCACAAGCGATAATTTATCACTGCAGCAGGCATCAAGTCTCGACATATTTCCCTTAGTTATCGGTGTGCGGCAAGTGTTGAGCGTCGCTGCCTGACATCCTATGGACATACACGACACGAATAAGCTTACCTTAGCTCCAGTAGTCGCAACCCTAACTTGTCGAATCCAGCTGCCGACTCGCGCTTCGTAGTTTCCCGTTATGAGTCATTAGGTGTTGTCCGGTGCCGTCGTTCCTCTAGAGGTGTTCCTATGGCACTTCTCGACAGTCATCTCCGTAGCCCCAGCCGGGAATTAGGATCTTCCACGGCTTCAATAGCTTCTTGTAGATTATTAAAGCGCACCAGATTACGGCATAGCGAAAGCAGAAGACCGTCGCCGATAGAATGTCAAGACTTCACGCGTCAACGCTACTCCGCGCCATGGACACGACCTTGTCGCGCGACTCCTTGTAATCTCCGGAAGCTTCTTACCGCTAGCTCGGCATCGCTTATCTCTGTCGCGGTGCTCGTGCTGTGCGCGTTTCGACCCGTCGACTCACAGGCCTCTAACGACCGTACGTAAGACCCATAAGTGCGGTGATTCTTATGTCGACTCAAAAGTAACTTCCTGCTGTGCACGCTTCAGTCCGTCGACTTACAGACATTGTCAACGACCATACTACGTGAAAGTTACGAACACTGCTTTCAGAATTCTCCGGGTCCTTTTAGAGTTTTCCCAGAAGGCATCACCCATTTTTCTTCTTGAAAACGGGTTGCGAGGAGAGGGTCGATAGCGTGTGGATACAGAGCTGGTAGTTCAAAAGAGCTGTCGGTAGTCTCCTATCCGTACGGTCCAAGTTGGAGAATATTCATTAACAAACTATAGCCTTACTTTATTTGAGCTCCACGACACCTGGATTACTGTCTTGACAAATCTGCCAGTCGTCCTATTGACTCCGTCAGCCGTCCTGACGGCCCTGTTAGCCACGGTGACGACTCCGTCAGCCATCGTTATGAGACCGTCAGCCATCGTTAACTTCGGAAAGACCGCTAGTCAGATGCAAGATGCTAAATGCCTTAGTTTGTGGAATAAAAGAAAAACCAGATTCCAGTCCCACTGCTCGAAACTTCAGAAAGGACAGCTGTGCAGAGGCAACAACAAATTAGGTCACATCTTTGCCCTATTCACGCAGTTTTCACCTCCCATCTCGTCAACTGCCAGTCGACTCTACACCCCCTCCTCTCCATTTCCTTCCGTGTTCTCTCCTTTCCCACGTGTATTTCTCGCCTCTCGGTGCCACATTCTGAATCCCACAAGCTAGCTAGCAACTCATCATAACAACCCCACACCACACTTCCCTTCATGCCGCACACCAGCACTCCATCCGTGCGCTATCAACCCCTGGCCCGGACAGGCATGTCTCGTGCATTTCAAGGCAGCAGGCTGGATCCCAAGCGCTCTTGCAAGAGCGCTCTTGCAACTCATCCACCTCAGGCTCTTACCTCTTTACCCCGCCACCTCTCGACCCAACTCTTGGTCATGTAGGGCGTGTTCTCTAGCAGCCCTGTGATGGGTTGGATTGGACCATTCTCGCAATCCATCACCCTCAGATTTTCAACCCTCCACTTCCTTCCCTAATCGCTCTCAACCCCCAATGGCCGTGGGAGGCGTGTCTCTCGCGGTGCTGGGCAGCAGTCTGGACCCCACCAGCGCATTCGTGTGGTCGTCGCCGCTGCTGTTCTTTCTTGAGTCGACTCAAACTTCCCCCCTCCTCCCCCTTTTTCCCATCCTTCCTTGGCCATGGCAGGCGTGTCTCTTGTGGCGCTGGGGAGCAGTGTGGATCCCAGCAGTACGCTCGTGTGGTCTTAGCCACTGCTGTGCTCTGGTTGGACCGTGGACCACTCTCGCAACCCATCACCCTCACATCTCAACGCTCCACTTCCCTTCGCGCCCCACACCTCCTTCCCAACCATGGCAGGCGTGTCTCTGGCGGTGCTGGGCAGCAGTCTGGACCCCAGCAGTGCACTCGTGTGGTCGTCGCCACTGCTGTGCTTTTCTTAATCGACTCAAACTTCAACCCCTCCTTCCCCTCTTCTTGGCCATGGCAGGCGTGTCTCTGGCGCTGCTGGGGAGCAGTCTGGACCCCAGCAGTGTGCTCGTGTGGTCGTCGCCGCTGCTGTGCTCTGGGTGGACCAACTTCACATGTAAAGACAACACCACCATCACAGCAATGTGCGTGTAAAGACAACACCACCATCACAGCAATGTGCGTGTAAAGACAACACCACCATCACAGCAATGTGCGTGTAAAGACAACACCACCATCACAGCAATGTGCGTGTAAAGACAACACCACCATCACAGCAATGTGCGTGTAAAGACAACACCACCATCACAGCAATGTGCATGTAAAAACAACACCACCATCACAGCAATGTGCGTGTAAAGACAACACCACCATCACAGCAATGTGCGTGTAAAGACAACACCACCATCACAGCAATGTGCGTGTAAAGACAACACCACCATCACAGCAATGTGCGTGTAAAGACAACACCACCATCACAGCAATGTGCGTGTAAAGACAACACCACCATCACAGCAATGTGCGTGTAAAGACAACACCACCATCACAGAAATCTGCGTGTAAAGACAACACCACCATCACAGCAATGTGCGTGTAAAGACAACACCACCATCACAGCAATGTGCGTGTAAAGACAACACCACCATCACAGCAATGTGCGTGTAAAGACAACACCACCATCACAGCAATGTGCGTGTAAAGACAACACCACCATCACAGCAATGTGCGTGTAAAGACAACACCACCATCACAGCAATGTGCGTGTAAAGACAACACCACCATCACAGCAATGTGCGTGTAAAGACAACACCACCATCACAGCAATGTGCGTGTAAAGACAACACCACCATCACAGCAATGTGCGTGTAAAGACAACACCACCATCACAGCAATGTGCGTGTAAAGACAACACCACCATCACAGCAATGTGCGTGTAAAGACAACACCACCATCACAGCAATGTGCGTGTAAAGACAACACCACCATCACAGCAATGTGCGTGTAAAGACAACACCACCATCACAGCAATGTGCGTGTAAAGACAACACCACCATCACAGCAATGTGCGTGTAAAGACAACACCACCATCACAGCAATGTGCGTGTGTGAAAGACGACAGAAACTGCGTGTTCGTGCAAAGGCCACACCAGTGATCAAAGAAGTGCCTGCGCAAAGGCAGCGCCATCATTATCAAACAGATGTGTTACAACCAAGGAGAATATGTATTCAGGGCATAGCTTAAGTTAGCGAGTCAAGGCAACAGCCGTTGCCGTGCCATCATTTGGTCAAACCTAATCGAACTTAAGTTTCGCAGTCCTTGTTTCCCCATCCCCACACCCTCTCCCGCCCTCCTGACAATTGAGCATTAGGAGGAAGGGAAACTGGGGAAGGGGGAGAAGAGAGGGGGGTTCCATTCCATTGTGTCAATCGTGCATTGTCTGCCTAATTCCATCTGCCCGCCTCTACCCTTCCCCCTCCTCTCCCCTCTGCCCGCATTCCCCTTGCCTTGTCTTTGTGCGGCTCAGCAATCTGGTGAAGATGCCACTCTCTGGCTCCCTGCCTCCCGACATCTCCAGATTTAAAAGCCTTGAATTCCTGTCAGTCACACTCTGCCTGTATCCTCTATTTTGAAATTTGGCTCATTTTCTTCTCCTCACCTAAAACGACTGCTATTCATGTTACTGCACGCACCACTATTCCTCTCGCCTTCTCTCGCTCTTTTACTCTCACCCCCTCCCTCTCACCTGCACTCACCCCCTTTCCTTCCACCTGCACCACGGTGGTCATCTCGCCTTCCAGCACCTCAGTGTTGTTGCTTTAGAGACGTAGTTCCGCTCCTGGATCATGTATGCCTTTACTGATAGTCCAGAGAGCATGGCAGCAAGCCAGCTTTCAGCATGGGAAAAAGATCTCGGTGCAGTGCAGAGTAATTTTGATTTTGATTGAAGTATGATGAGCTATGGTGTGCGTGTGCCATCTGTTCTTACCCTGCTATTGTTTCCTGTTTATGTGTCAATGTCTTTGTGCTGGTTTCCTGCATGTGCTGCTCTCCTCCTGGCAGGGTGGTTCGAAGTTCCAACATCTCAGGCCCGTTGCCTGATGCAATCACTACTCTGAGAAACCTCAAGTACCTGTGAGTGTGTGTAACATCCTAAAAACATGCAGATTGTATAACATCCTAAGAACACATGCCCTCTCATGTGTGTTTTTTTCCACCCTAGTTTGTAGGGTTTCTCTGTACACGGTATGTGTTTCCCCTCCGTGTTGCATTCATTGCAATGTATCACCCATGCCATCGCAACTCTTGCAGAGATTTGAGCTACAATCAAATATGGCCGCCTGTGCCAGCAGCCCTCTTCTCAATGCCAGACCTGAAGGGCATGTAAGCACCCTGTGTATCCTCTGAAGTGCATGCATGTGTACACTCTGCAGTGTAGAATAGAGTAGAGCACTACTTCAAGATCGTTTGGTCTTCTTCGTGGGTTTCTGTGCCAGCAGCGCTCTTCTCAATGCCAGACCTCAAGGGCATGTAAGCACCCTGTACACTCTCTACATAGTTGAGCACTGCTTCGAGATCCTTTGGTTGCCTTCATGGTTTCCTTTTTGAGACGCTGCAAGAATAAGCCCTGACAGCAGGCATGAGGTTGGTTGGTTCCACTCTGCCTCCTCCAGTCTGCAGATTCAAATGCCTTGCCTCACACCGGAGACACCGTTTCTTCCAGTTTCTTCCCCCCCTGAACCCGCCCGCCTGTTGCGTTCACTCCTCTGCCGGCCCCTTGTTCGCTTGCGTCTCACGCCTCTACCGGCCGCTTGCGTCTCACGCCTCTTCCGGCCGCTTGCGTCTCACGCCTCTTCCGGCCGCTTGCGTCTCACGCCTCTACCGGCCGCTTGTGTCTCACGCCTCTACCGGCCGCTTGCGTCTCACGCCTTTACCGGCCGCTTGTGTCTCACGCCTCTACCGGCCGCGTCATGGTGCTCCTTGCCCCTTGCTACCTGCTCTGCCACACCCCCCTCCCTGAATCACTTGCTGCCTGCAGGCTTCTGGGCAACACTGGCTGACCAACCTGACGGTGCCCCTCATGGCCAAGGTCACCTGACACCTGCCTCCCAGGGCATGCTGTGGAGAGATTTAGAAGAATCTCAAAGAGATATCAAACACTTCCCACCCCTGCCTGCAGCCTGCTGGGCAACAACTGGCTGACCAACCAGCTGGTGCCCAACATGGCCAAGGCGTCCGCCTCTCTGAACATGCTGTCGGAAGATTTTAGAGAATTTCAAAGAGATTACAAACATTTCCCACCCCTGCCGCACCTGCATGCCTCTCACCCCTCCCCTCTCCCTGCCTGCAGGCTGCTGGACAACAACTGGCTGACCATCCAGCCGGTGCCCAACATGGCCTCCGTCTACCCAACTGTTGCCTCTCATCCCTCTCCCCTCCCCCCCAATACCCCCCCCTGGTACCTCTCATGCCTTTGTGAACCCCCTGCGGGCCTGCAGGCTTCTGGGCAACAACTGGCTGACCAACCAGCTGGTGCCCAATCTGGCCAAGGCGCCCGCGTCTCTGAACATGGTGTCGCTGCGCACCGTGAATGCCACTGTGGACAACAGCTCGCAAGCCGGCAAGGCTACTCTTGAGTGAGTCCGTGCCTTTGAATGGAATGGGCGTGCCTTTGAATGGAATGGGCATGCCTTTGAATGGAATGTTCATGCCTTTGAATGGAATGAGCATGCCTTTGAATGGAACGGGCATGCCTTTGAATGGAACGGGCATGCCTTTGAATGGAACGGGCATGCCTTTGAATGGAGCGGGCATGCCTTTGAATGGAACGGGCATGCTTTGAATGGAACGGGCATGCCTTTGAATGGAACGGGCATGCCTTTGAATGGAACGGGCATGCCTTTGAATGGAACGGGCATGCCTTTGAATGGAACGGGCATGCCTTTGAATGGAACGGGCATGCCTTTGGAATCGAATGGGGCATGCCTGCCTTGGAATGGGGCATGCCTGCCTTGGAATGGGGCATGCCTGCCTTGGAATGGGGCATGCCTGCCTTGGAATGGGGCATGCCTGCCTTGGAAATTGGAATGGGGCATGCCTTTTCCCCATGTACCTTCCTTTCCCAGCCCCACCCCCCATCAGCCTGCACAGCAATACACAGATCTGTGACATCTCCACGGGTCGACCCGTGTATGTTTTTTGAGAATTCTAAAAGAACGTACACTGTGACATCTCCACGGGTCGACCCGTGTATGTTTTTTGAGAATTCTAAAAGAACGTACACTGTGACATCTCCACGGGTCGACCCCTCAACCTCTTTCCCTAACAACACCCCTTCCCGCCCCTCTTCTCCCCCCTTCCCCCCCGTTTCTTCCCCCCCCCTTCCCACCCCCCACCAGCCTGTACGGCAGCCCACATAGATCTGTGACATCTCCACAGGCAGCCCGCTCAACCTCTTTCCCTCTCCCCACCCTCCCCCCCCTCTTCTCCCCCTTTTCCGCCTGTGTCTTCCTTTCCCGTCCCCACCCCTCCACCAGCCTGTACGGCAATCAACAGATCACATCTCCACAGGCAGCCCTCTCTACCTCTCAGCCACCAGCAGGCAGTTCAACGACTCGTGCCAGTGGACCCACGCGCCCTCCTGCCATAATTCCTCCCTCTGCCCAACTTCTTCCTCCCCTTCCCCCCCATCAGCCTGTACGGCAACCCACAGATCTGTGACGTTGCCAGGGGCAGCCCACTCAACCTGTCATCCACCAGCGGGCAGTTCAACGACTCGTGCAAGTGGACCCACACGCCCTTCTGCCTCAACCAGCGCTGCCTCCCCACACAGTACATCGACCGCCCCACCTTCCTCAACGCGTACCCCCCCTCCAACTGCATCTACGGGCAGGGCCCCATTACTGCCCCGCTCTTCCCCCCCGCCTCCTCCTCTGCCACTGCCCAGGCGGAGTCTGTGTCCGCCTCTGCACTCCCTCCTGGGTCCGCTGGCCCCCCTACTGGGGCGCCGGGGCCGGATGCCCCTGGTGGTGATCCTGCTGGTGCCGGTGCTGCTGGCGGCCGTGGTGGTGGTGGTGGTGGTGGTGGTGGTGGTGGTGGGTCAGCAGCGGCGGCTGCGGGTGATGTAGCGGTGCCGACGGGGCCGGGGGCGTGTGTGTGTGTGGGCAGCGATCAGTTCTACGAGTTTGACCTGCTCTGCGCCAACAGCAAAATCCAGGCGTGGAGCGACGAGTACTCGCAGCTTGTTTCTGAGAAGGTGTCTCAAGGCTTTGGCATGAAGCTGAAGAGGTGCATTTCCCCGGAGCAGGTGAGAGCGGGGGGGGGGGGGAAATGAATGGGGCGCATTTTCTTTGGTGCTTTGGATTTAGAATAAGCTGTTGTAGCAGCGGAGGCTCAACAGGGACCTTGACTGGCACATTGGTCTGGAGCAGACTTTCTTTTGAGGCGCCTCAAAAGCTTAACAGAGACCTTGACTAGCACAGCACATTGGCCTGGAGCAGGTGAGAAGGGGGTGAGGAACAGATTGAAGGACAGATTGGTTGAGGGGCTCACCGTACCATCACCAGGCTTGAGAATGCACTGTTCCGAGAGAGGGGTTGGGTGAGGAATGAGGGAGGATTCGAGGTAGACATGATCAATGACCCCTAGACAAGACACTCGCCTGCCTCGTTCGTTTTTTTCTTGCCATCGTCGAAACGAGGCACCTGAGCTGAGCTGAGCACCATGGTGAGTAAAAACGCATTCGCATGGTGTGCCGCAGATCCATGCATTCCCAGACCTTCACAATGGAATGGACTGCTGCAGAGCCGAAGCCTTGCAAGCAGCCTGCTGTGCTGTGCTCTGCACCGTCTCGTCTCGTCTCGTCTCGTCTCGTGCATGCCCCTGCCTGCCAGCTTTGGCTGTGGTACGCGGCACCGCACGCGTATGTGAGCGAGTGGCACCGGACACGAGCAGTAGGCCACTCGTTGAGACATCTCAAAGCTCGACCCTTGACATCTCAAAGCTCGACCCTTGACATGTGGAGGCTGTCTGTCTGTGGTGCTGTTGGCTTTTGAGGCGCCTCAGAATATCTGGTGCTTCACTCACTCACTCACTCACTCTCTCACTCACTCACTCACTCACTCACTCACTCACTCACCCGTCCGCATCTGCAATGCCCGTTGCTGTGTGCAGGTGTGGGTGTGGCACGCCTATGTGAGCGACTGGCGTCTGGACAGCAGCGGCACACCACTGTTTGACATGCGGCTGTATGTGGTGCTGTTCGGCAACTTCACAAGCGACGAAGAGGTGCTGGTGCAGTCAGTGATCGTGCAGAATCCAGACCTTCTGAAAGACTCCAGATTTGGAATGCTTAGGCGGCTGGGTGAGTGGGGGAGAGGGGATAATGGGATGGAAGAGTGCGGGAGGGGACGGAGAGAGGGTGAGGGGGGAGGCAGAGGGAGCGTTGGCATTTGACTTGGCCTCGTGCAGTCTGTATGTGATCGTGCAGAACCCGGATCTTCTGGGAAACCTCAGGTTTGGAGTGCTCAAGCGGCTGGGTGGGTGAGTGGGGGGGAGAGTGGGGGAGAGGGAGAGAGGCTGCGTGGAGTGCAGTGCAGTCGGTGGTCGTGAAGAACTAGGGTTGGCATTTGACTTGACCTGCTCTGGTGCAGGCTGGGTGGGATTGTGCAGCGAGAGATTGAGCATTCTGCTCGTAGCTGGTTGTTCCTCTCTGTCCTCGCCTCACCTCCTCCCTGTTTCTTCCCGATCCTCATTTCTTCTTTATCCTCGGCTGTGTGTGCACCCCCCGTTTCTTCATTTGTGCGTGCACCCACCTGCACCCACCTGCAGAGCACGAAAAAGAAGTGCCGCCCCCAGCCCCCCTGCGTACGTCACTGCCCTGCCCTCCATCCATCCATCCATGCATCCATCCATCCATGCATCCATCCGTCCGTCCGTCCATCCATCCATCCATCCATCCATCCATACATCCTTCCCTCCCTCCCTCCCTCCCTCCCTCCCTCCCTCCCTCCCTCCCTCCCTCCCTCCCTCCCTCCCTCCCTCCCTCCCTTCCCTCCCTCCCTCCCTCCCTCCCTCCCTCCCTCCCTCCCTCCCTCCCTCCCTCCCTCCCTCCCTCCCTCCCTCCCTCCCTCCCTCCCTCCCTCCCTTCCCTCCCTCCCTCCCTCCCTCCCTCCCTTCCCTCCACGCACCCATCCACCAATACACCACAACCCCACCGTTTCGCTCCCCCAACCCCTTCCCCCCCACCAGCACCCTTTCCGGACAGGAACAACACCGCCCCACCAGCAGTGCCTCCCGCAGACGAGCCCTCCTCCTCGTCCTACACCACAGTCATCATTGCCGTGGTCGTCGTGGTGCTCGCCGTGCTGTTTGGCGTCGGTGTTGCCTATTTCTACTTCTTCGTCCGCAACCGCCACTCCAAGCGTGAGTTGCCAGGGGGGCTTGTCGAGCCTGTGCTGCTCGGATGTGTCGTGCGAACGGTGCTCTCTGATGTTGGTTGGTGCTCTCTGATGTTGGTTGGTCTTTTGAGGCGCCTCAAAAATGCTCTCTGATGTTGGTTGGTGTTGCCTATTTCTACTTCTTTGTCCGCAACCACCACACTGCAACCACCACACCACAGGAGCGCATGGCACCCCAAGGGTTGAGTTGCAGGAGAGCGGGCCACTGCACTGCATAGATTAAGTGTGAATTTCTTGCTCGAGGTTGCTGGGAGACCCGTGCCTGTGTTTCTTGGATAGGCCTTGCATGCTTGTTTCCCTCTCCTCCTCCTTCGGGTGGCCCCTGCAGCAGCGCTTCATGCAGGTCTACTCGCTCAGGGAGTTGGCAGCCGCTTCTGGCCCTCCCTTCATCCTCCACTTGCTCTCTGTTTCCCGCCTTCCCTCGTTCCGTTCTCCCTTCCCTCTCCTCCCGCCTCCCCTTCCCCGTCCGCTCCCCCCTCCCCTCCCCACCCCACAGTGTCATCCATATCCGGCAGTGGCTTCCTGGGTAACCAGGCGCTCTCCTCCTCCTTCGGCTGGGCCCTCTGCAGAAGCTTCTCATTCGGGTCTACTCGCTCAAGGCGATGGCATGGCAGCTGCTTCGCTTCTGATCCGTCCCTTCAACCGCCACTTTCTCTCTGCCTCCCGCCTTTCCGCCTTCCCACTCCTCCCATTTACCGTTCCCTGTCCCCTCCCTCCCTCCCTCACCCCACCCCACAGTGCCATCAGTATCAGGCTCTGGTTTCCTGGGCATCCAGGCGCTCTACTCCTCCCTCGGCTGGGCCCTGGGCTCTGCAGCAGTAATTCGTGCAGGTCTGCTCGCTCAAGGAGGTGGCGGCAGCGTCTGACCCGCCCCTTCAACCACCACTCCCTCTCTGCCTCTCACCTTTCGCCCCTCCCTCTCTTCCCACCTCTCCCCATCCCCTCCCAACCCCACAGTGTCCTCTATATCCGGCTCAGGTTTCCTGGGAAACCAGGCACTCTCCTCGTCGTTTGGCTGGGCCCTGCAGCAGCGCTTCGTGCAGGTCTACTCGCTCAAGGAGGTGGCAGCAGCGACCAACAACTGGGACGAGGAGCGGGTGCTGGGGCAAGGCGGGTATGGGCGGGTGTACCTGGGGGAGGGCCCTCACGGCGTGCAGTGGGCGGTTAAAAGGCTCGAGGCGAGATCTACCGCCAAGGGGCTTCAGGACTTCCGGAATGAGGTGAGCGAAAGAGGCACACTTGCTCACGATTGGGACGCGAAGGTGTTTTCAGATACTCTGTCCAAAAACACCCTCACAGTGTATCTGTGCATCGGAAAATCCTCCTCTTTCCTTCCTCCCCACGTTCCCTCCCACTGGGCAGGTGGAGCTGATCTCGCAGACCAACCACCGCAACCTGGTGAAGTTGCTGGGCTTCTGTGACGACCAGGGCGAGCAGGTGAGCAGTGGTGAAGGGGCGGGGTAAAGGGACGGGGGAGAAGAAGCAAGGGGCTACGACAAAGTGGGGAACAATGTAGCAATTTGGTGAAGCTGCTGGCCTTTTTTGAGGACCTGGGAGAGCTGGTAAGCAGTGGGGACAAGTAGTAGGTGAGCGGCAGGTACGGTTGTTCGTATAGGAAAACAGTGTACTATTTGAGGAAGTTCTTGGTTTGTAGTATGTTTCTTTCCTTCTTGGTTTGTCCCCCTTGTGCTGCACAAGTTGTGCAGATCCTCATGTGCGATTTTGTTGCTGACTTTACTTGATTACTATAAAACGCTCTTGGTTTGGTCCTTCCCTTCCCTCCTTCGTTGCGTGTTCAGATCCTCGTGTACGAGTTTGTGCCGAATGGGAACCTGCGGCAGCACCTACGCCCCTCCAAAGGTGAGCCGCATGATGGCGCTGAAGCTACCACCTTACGGATAACGAAGGGATTCTCTGTGGTAGAGGAGTCGAACCCACTTTCTCTCCCTTCCTCTTCCACCCTCTGCCGCCCAAGCCCTATGACCCTCGCTCGAACCCCATACCCCTTTCCATCCCATACCCCTTTCCCCCTTTCCCCTTTCCATCCCTTTCCCTTTCCCCTTTCCCCTTTCCATCCCCATACCCCTTTCCCCTTTCCCCTTTCCCCTTTCCCCTTTCCCCTTTCCCCTTTCCCCTTTCCCCTTCCCCTTACCCCATACCCCTTTCCTTTCCCTTTCCTTCCCTTTCCCCTTTCCCCATACCCCATACCCCTTTCCCCTTTCCTTCCCTTTCCTTTCCCCTTTCCTTTCCCTTTCCCTTTCCTTTCCCCTTTCCCCTTTCCCTCTCCCCTTTCCCCTTTCCCCTTTTCTTTTCCGTGGCTTCCCATGATCTTGCCTGCCATTTACTTTGCCGCCCACCAGCCGCCTTGGAGCGCCCCGACGAGCACAAGCTGTGGCTGACCATCCCTGGCCTCACCTTCCGATTATCTCCCCTTGTTCCCTTTTTTCTCTAATCTCCTCGTCTCCCACCAGCTGCCTTGGAGCACCCCGACGCGCACAAGCTAGGACTCACCTTCCTGCAGCGGGTGGACGTGGCGGTGGGGGCAGCAGAGGGGCTGCGCTACCTGCACAACTTCACCACGCCCTCTGTGGTGCACCGCGACGTGAAGAGCGAAAACATCCTGCTCGACGAGAACATGCAGGTGGGCTAGCGGGACAAGTCCATTTGCTCATCTCCCAAACTGCTGTGTGCCCTCTGCTGCCATTCCTTGTTGCCCTCCTTTGCTCCTATCATCCCAAGGTGGCGGATTTCGGGTTCTTGAAGAACATGGTGGACGGGGCGAGTGGCGGCAAGGGAGCATCAGAGACACCCATCTGCTCGGCTCCCTGTTTGATGGAGAGAATGGCGGGAATATCACAATTTCATCTGCTGTGCTTCCCCGCTCTGCTCCATTCCCCATTGTCCTGCCCTGCCAGCCCAAGGTGGCGGATTTTTTTTTTTTTTTTTTCAAGAACATGGTGGATGGGGCGGGTGGCGGCAGAGAGGGTTACTGAGTCTGTGAAGTACACTCATCTTCCCACTCCTACCACTGCTTGTGTCCTCTCATCCCACCAGCCCAAGGTGGCGGATTTCGGTTTCTTCAAGAACATGGTGGACGGGGCAAGTGGCGGCAAGGGGGCATCGGAGGCGGTGAGCACGCGAGTGCTGGGCACGCCGGGCTATGTGGACCCCGAATACTACTACACGTGCAAGGTCACCACCAAATGCGACGTGTACAGGTGAGCAGAGGCACCTTCACACGTATACGACTGGCGGGCATTCCCCACTCTGGGCATCCCTATGCTAGGGCACGCCGGCCTATGTGGACCCCGAGTACTACTACACGTGCAAGGTCACCACCAAGTGCGATGTGTACAGGTGGGTGGCCCATTGCTAACACGTGAGCACGAGTCGAGTCGAGTCGAGTCTTCCTTGAGACATCAGAGGGTTGAGACAAGTCATTTTCTGTTTCTTGGGACACTCGGGTGGAGTGCTGGGCATGCCGGGCCGGCTATGTGGACCCTGAATACGACTACACGTGCAAGGCCACCACCAAGTGCGACGTGTACAGGTGGGTTGCTTCAATATGCCCGGCACCACAGTTGCAGTCGTCCGTTGGTTTGAGTCAAGTCAAGGCGAATGCTGGCTGCTGGGGCACTCGGGTGTGGAGTGCTGGGCACGCCGGGCTATGTGGACCCCGAGTACTACTTCACGCGCAAGGTCACCACCAAATGTGAGGTGTACAGGTGGGTGTCTCACTCTTTGGAAAGATGGACGAATATTTTCTGTTGAGACCCTCGAGTGTGGAGTGCTGGGCACGCCGGCCTATGTGGACCCCTGAATACTACTACACCTGCAAGGTCACCACCAAGTGCGATGTGTACAGGTGGGTGGATTCCCCATGGCGCTTGCCTAGCCACACAGTATACACATTAGCAGAAGTAGAGTCGAGTCATCCTCGATTCGAACATAGGACGCTCATAGGGCGCTCGGGTATGGAGTGCTGGGCGCACCGGCGTATGTGGCCCGTATACATAGCCACCTGTCCACATAGCTAATGTGGGACGGGTGGGCGCACTGGCGTATGTGGCCCCTCCCCAATCACCATGTGCGACGTGTACAGCTGGGTCACCTGACTGTGCCACATGGCTGGGTCATGAGCACGAATCCAGTCATCCTCCCTTTCTGCCCCTGCTGCCGTGGTTCCCCTTCCCTCCCTCCCTGTCATGCAGCTTCGGAGCGCTGTTGTGGAGGCTGATAACGGGTAAATCGCTCTTAGAGGTGGAGGACCCGGGCAGGCTTGAGCCTGCTTCACCCCTCTTAACACCTCTCTTCCTCCCTGTACTCCTCTGCAGCTTCGGCGTGGTGTTGTGGGAGCTGATCACGGGTAAATCGCCCATTCTAGAGGTGGAGGACCCCGAGTCAGGCCCAGGGGATGGGCCCTGCTTCATGCAGCTGCCGATTTGGGTGAGTGCGGTGTGGTTAAGTGGGGTGGGGTGAGGTTTGGTGGGGTTGCATGTGATGGGATGGGCCCTGCTTCATGCAGCTGCCCATATGGGTGAGTGCTCGTGGAATGGAGTGGGGTGGGGTGGATGGGATGAGGTGGGATGGGTTGGGTGGGGATGAGATGGGATGGGATGGGATGGGATGGGATGGGATGGGATGGGATGGGATGGGGTGGGGTGGGGTGGGGTGGGGTGGGGTGGGGTGGGGTGGGGTGGGGTGGGGTGGGGTGGGGTGGGGTGGGGTGGGATGGGATGGGATGGGATGGGACTGAGATGGGATGGGGTGGGGTGGGGTGGGATGGGATGGGATGGGATGGGATGGATGGGTTGGGATGGGATGGGATGGGATGGGGTGGGATGGGATGGGATGGGATGGGATGGGATGGGATGGGATGGGATGGGATGGGATGGGATGGGATGGGATGGGATGGGATGGGATGGGATGGGATGGGATGGGATGGGATGGGATGGGATGGGATGGGATGGGATGGGATGGGATGGGATGGGATGGGATGGGATGGGATGGGATGGGATGGGATGGGATGGGATGGGATGGGATGGGATGGGATGGGATGGGAGGAGATTTAATGGGATGGTGGACATGCAATTGGGGATGAGATAGCTTTACAATGGACCCGGCACTGAAGGGCGATTGCATCCCTCCCCTCATCCCTCTCTGTTCTCCTCATCCACCTTCCCCCCTATTACCCCCAGGCGATCATGTACCTGAAGAAGGGCAATCTAGAAGAAATTGTGGACCCCGCATTCAAGGGAGACTACGACAAGGAGGCCATTAAAGCCATGGCGGAGATAGCCGACAAGTGGACTAGAGACAAGGCACGCCACCCTTACATCCCTTCCCTTTCCCCCTCCTGCTTTCCCCTTCTCCCTTCCCTGCTCCCTCTCCCTGTCCCTTGCCCCCCCACCCTTCCCCCTGTCCCCCCACCTCCCCTTCCTCCCCTCCCCAGGCAATCATGTACCTAAAAAAAGGCAATCTAGAAGAGATTGTCGACCCGGCATTTAAGGGAGATTACGACAGGGAGGCCATTAAAGCCATGGCAGAGATAGCTGATAAGTGCACTAGAGACAAGGCTCGCCACCGGCCCGAGATGACCGACGCGCTGACGTGGCTAGTGGAGATCCAACGGCGCCTCAAGCGCGAGAGCGACCCCAGCTATGTATCTGAGCCGTCCACTCCCGTGGCGGGGAGCGGTGGTGAGGGGCGGGATGCGGTGCTGGAGCTGGTTGGAGTCGGGGGGGTTGACTCGCTAGCACTGCATTCAACGACGCACCAGCCGCCCATCTCCACCAACTTCGCGGGGCGGTGACAGGCATGTAGTGTTTAGGAGAGGAGTGGGTGGAGGAGATTCAGGGCCGCCCCGACCCCAGCTAGGTACCTGAGCTGTCCACTCCCGTGGCGGGGAGCAGGTGAGGGGGCCGGGGGGGGGGGGATGCGGTGCTGAAGCTGGTTGGAGCTGGTTGGAGTTGGTTGGAGTTGGTTGGAGTTGGGGGGGCTGACTCGCTTGTGCTGCACTCGACCACGCACCAGCCGCCCATCTCCACCAACTTTGAGGGGCGGTGGCGGAGGGATGGAGGGTGCAGAGGAAGAACTAGGGCTGGGCTGGCAAAGGCAGGCAAGATAAATGGCCATCCAAGCCTGGGGAAGGGCAGAAGGGTGTGGGGTGGAGAGTGGTGAGATGGGATGGGATGGGCTGTGGGACTGGAGGTGGTGGTTGGAGGGGGGAGGATGCTGCCTTGTGCCTGGACTGGACTGGACAATCACCTGCCAAGAGCCTGGCTGGCCCATTTCTTCGCCTCTCTCTTGCTGCGGCACAATCAGCCGATCCTTGAGGTGCTGCAATAATCTCTTCTCCCTCCCTGCACCAGCATTCAGCTGCTATGTGTGCTGTGCGGTGCAGTGGGGTCATGTGCGGTGCTGGGCCTGGGCTATCCTAGCCTCAGCCCTTGATAAAAGCTAATACTACTGCCGGTAGGCAGGTATCTCTTAGGCGCTTCAAAGATGTGGTGGGCCTGGTTTGTCATGCAAAAGCAGCGCTTCACAAGGATTATACGATACGAGGAGGGAGGGAGCACTGTGATGGGATGAAAGCTGGCAAGGCAAAACATGCTAGCTTGGTGATTGATGGCTGTGAGCTGGCTTGCAGCTGAGTGTGGTGAAGTGCTCAGCACCTTCCAACAGCTGAATCATTTCCACGCTGTGGGGTGTTGAATGGTGTGCACCTGTTGGGATGGGTAGGGATGCGCTCACCTTGAAAAGAAAATCGATCGTTGTTTTAGGGTTTGGGCTGGGTGTAAGGGAAGGCAACATGACCTTGACCTCAGTCAAGGCTGTCCTTATGCCGCTGGGGGCAGCTGCTTTCCTGTACAGATGATAAAAGTTATGGAATGCAATCATTTTATGTATGCAATTTTACAGGTAGACAGCTACAAATTGACGTTCTGGTGAAATCGAATGACTTCTTATTGCGAACAAGATTTGCTTCCGAGACTGACTGTTGCACGTATCGCGCGCCATTCAATCTACCGTGGCGCTTTTCGTCCCAACAAACTAATCGTAGCCATTGGTCCTAGTAGGATGGCCTCTCAGTGTTTACGCTTGCAGTCGCAGCGACGCTCGCTGATTCCCTAATCGCTGAGTCCGTCGTAAGAGCGTCCGTCCCCGCCGCGTGAGTGTCGAGCGACTATAGCGAGTGTCGCGACGTTTCTCTAAACTCTGCAGCATTATCACATGCACGAAGCCTCCCTTGATTGATATTTTGTTTGTTTTTTTTTTCCGATTCGGTAAAAACCGTCTGGCGATCCGCCAATCGTGAATGGCGACGTGGGAAGCGAGGGTCCGCTCTTGCTGCGAGCGGCTGTGTCAGCTGCCGGACACGTCATTCGAGAAAATCGAGGCCACGTCAGCACAGCTAAGGCGGCTGCTGGAGGAGGGATGCGCAAGTTCGTGGAAACCGACGGCAGAAAAAGGAGAAGCGGGAGAATTCGGGGCTTCTGAGGCTCTCCTTGCCGTGAATGGCGCTGCGGACTCTGTTGAAAACGACTCGGAAAGCGAAGGCTGTTCTTCTCGTGAGCAGAGTCGGGAGCGCGCCGTGTGGCACGTGCTGCAGCTGCTGCTGTCGCTGCTGTCAGGTCACAAGGTAGGGCGGGATGAGAGGTGAGGAGGGGAGGTGGGGTGAGTGGGGGAGGTGGAGTGGAGTGACGAGGGGAGGTCGGGTGAGGAAGAAGGTGGTTCACTCATGCATGTCTCACTCTCATAGCATCACCTGGATTTCCTCGTCATGCGGAAACTTAAAACCGGGGTTCCAAGAGTTTCGAAGTTAGGAAGGTTGCTTGGGGCAAGGGATGTGAGTCGCGGGCGAACCAGGGTGGTGTCGAGATTTGTGGACGCGGATCGCAGAGCTTGAGTACCTCGCGTGTGTAACCAGATCTTGAATGCAACGTAAGAAATAGCTCGCAACAGTTTCGGACGGGCTTCAAATCTTTGTGCGAAATCGTCACTGCTCTCGCTCTCGCTAGAACAGTAAATTCGTGTGACGAAATTTGTCCCGACAAATTGCGAAGTGGGTCACTTCCAACTGGGTCACACCCAACCGAAGTTAGGAAGGTTGAGGCAGTTTAGGCCTGTTTGGGACTCCGGTTTTAAGTGTCTTCCTCACCTCCTTGTTTTAGTATTCCAATCAACCTAATGACATGCCCCATGCTCCTCTCCCTCCTCCTTCCATCCCTGTACCCCTCAGCAACATACATACCCTGTCATCGTGCCCCCTCCCATACCACCCCGCCCCACCCCACCCCTATCCCTGTCCTCACTTCCCATTGAACCTGCTCCCTTTCATTACACACTCCTAGTCAGCCAACACTTCTTTGCTCGACTCCCAATTACTCACACACCCTCCTCTCGTCCCTTTCCTCCCAACCCATTGCCCTTTCCTCCCAACCCATTGCCCTTTCCTCCCAACCCATTGCCCTTTCCTCCCAACCCATTGCCCTTTCCTCCCAACCCATTGCCCTTTCCTCCCAACCCATTGCCCTTTCCTCCCAACCCATTGCCCTTTCCTCCCAACCCATTGCCCTTTCCTCCCAACCCATTGCCCTTTCCTCCCAACCCATTGCCCTTTCCTCCCAACCCATTGCCCTTTCCTCCCAACCCATTGCCCTTTCCTCCCAACCCATTGCCCTTTCCTCCCAACCCATTGCCCTTTCCTCCCAACCCATTGCCCTTTCCTCCCAACCCATTGCCCTTTCCTCCCAACCCATTGCCCTTTCCTCCCAACCCATTGCCCTTTCCTCCCAACCCATTGCCCTTTCCTCCCAACCCATTGCCCTTTCCTCCCAACCCATTGCCCTTTCCTCCCAACCCATTGCCCTTTCCTCCCAACCCATTGCCCTTTCCTCCCAACCCATTGCCCTTTCCTCCCAACCCATTGCCCTTTCCTCCCAACCCATTGCCCTTTCCTCCCAACCCATTGCCCTTTCCTCCCAACCCATTGCCCTTTCCTCCCAACCCATTGCCCTTTCCTCCCAACCCATTGCCCTTTCCTCCCAACCCATTGCCCTTTCCTCCCAACCCATTGCCCTTTCCTCCCAACCCATTGCCCTTTCCTCCCAACCCATTGCCCTTTCCTCCCAACCCATTGCCCTTTCCTCCCAACCCATTGCCCTTTCCTCCCAACCCATTGCCCTTTCCTCCCAACCCATTGCCCTTTCCTCCCAACCCATTGCCCTTTCCTCCCAACCCATTGCCCTTTCCTCCCAACCCATTGCCCTTTCCTCCCAACCCATTGCCCTTTCCTCCCAACCCATTGCCCTTTCCTCCCAACCCATTGCCCTTTCCTCCCAACCCATTGCCCTTTCCTCCCAACCCATTGCCCTTTCCTCCCAACCCATTGCCCTTTCCTCCCAACCCATTGCCCTTTCCTCCCAACCCATTGCCCTTTCCTCCCAACCCATTGCCCTTTCCTCCCAACCCATTGCCCTTTCCTCCCAACCCATTGCCCTTTCCTCCCAACCCATTGCCCTTTCCTCCCAACCCATTGCCCTTTCCTCCCAACCCATTGCCCTTTCCTCCCAACCCATTGCCCTTTCCTCCCAACCCATTGCCCTTTCCTCCCAACCCATTGCCCTTTCCTCCCAACCCATTGCCCTTTCCTCCCAACCCATTGCCCTTTCCTCCCAACCCATTGCCCTTTCCTCCCAACCCATTGCCCTTTCCTCCCAACCCATTGCCCTTTCCTCCCAACCCATTGCCCTTTCCTCCCAACCCATTGCCCTTTCCTCCCAACCCATTGCCCTTTCCTCCCAACCCATTGCCCTTTCCTCCCAACCCATTGCCCTTTCCTCCCAACCCATTGCCCTTTCCTCCCAACCCATTGCCCTTTCCTCCCAACCCATTGCCCTTTCCTCCCAACCCATTGCCCTTTCCTCCCAACCCATTGCCCTTTCCTCCCAACCCATTGCCCTTTCCTCCCAACCCATTGCCCTTTCCTCCCAACCCATTGCCCTTTCCTCCCAACCCATTGCCCTTTCCTCCCAACCCATTGCCCTTTCCTCCCAACCCATTGCCCTTTCCTCCCAACCCATTGCCCTTTCCTCCCAACCCATTGCCCTTTCCTCCCAACCCATTGCCCTTTCCTCCCAACCCATTGCCCTTTCCTCCCAACCCATTGCCCTTTCCTCCCAACCCATTGCCCTTTCCTCCCAACCCATTGCCCTTTCCTCCCAACCCATTGCCCTTTCCTCCCAACCCATTGCCCTTTCCTCCCAACCCATTGCCCTTTCCTCCCAACCCATTGCCCTTTCCTCCCAACCCATTGCCCTTTCCTCCCAACCCATTGCCCTTTCCTCCCAACCCATTGCCCTTTCCTCCCAACCCATTGCCCTTTCCTCCCAACCCATTGCCCTTTCCTCCCAACCCATTGCCCTTTCCTCCCAACCCATTGCCCTTTCCTCCCAACCCATTGCCCTTTCCTCCCAACCCATTGCCCTTTCCTCCCAACCCATTGCCCTTTCCTCCCAACCCATTGCCCTTTCCTCCCAACCCATTGCCCTTTCCTCCCAACCCATTGCCCTTTCCTCCCAACCCATTGCCCTTTCCTCCCAACCCATTGCCCTTTCCTCCCAACCCATTGCCCTTTCCTCCCAACCCATTGCCCTTTCCTCCCAACCCATTGCCCTTTCCTCCCAACCCATTGCCCTTTCCTCCCAACCCATTGCCCTTTCCTCCCAACCCATTGCCCTTTCCTCCCAACCCATTGCCCTTTCCTCCCAACCCATTGCCCTTTCCTCCCAACCCATTGCCCTTTCCTCCCAACCCATTGCCCTTTCCTCCCAACCCATTGCCCTTTCCTCCCAACCCATTGCCCTTTCCTCCCAACCCATTGCCCTTTCCTCCCAACCCATTGCCCTTTCCTCCCAACCCATTGCCCTTTCCTCCCAACCCATTGCCCTTTCCTCCCAACCCATTGCCCTTTCCTCCCAACCCATTGCCCTTTCCTCCCAACCCATTGCCCTTTCCTCCCAACCCATTGCCCTTTCCTCCCAACCCATTGCCCTTTCCTCCCAACCCATTGCCCTTTCCTCCCAACCCATTGCCCTTTCCTCCCAACCCATTGCCCTTTCCTCCCAACCCATTGCCCTTTCCTCCCAACCCATTGCCCTTTCCTCCCAACCCATTGCCCTTTCCTCCCAACCCATTGCCCTTTCCTCCCAACCCATTGCCCTTTCCTCCCAACCCATTGCCCTTTCCTCCCAACCCATTGCCCTTTCCTCCCAACCCATTGCCCTTTCCTCCCAACCCATTGCCCTTTCCTCCCAACCCATTGCCCTTTCCTCCCAACCCATTGCCCTTTCCTCCCAACCCATTGCCCTTTCCTCCCAACCCATTGCCCTTTCCTCCCAACCCATTGCCCTTTCCTCCCAACCCATTGCCCTTTCCTCCCAACCCATTGCCCTTTCCTCCCAACCCATTGCCCTTTCCTCCCAACCCATTGCCCTTTCCTCCCAACCCATTGCCCTTTCCTCCCAACCCATTGCCCTTTCCTCCCAACCCATTGCCCTTTCCTCCCAACCCATTGCCCTTTCCTCCCAACCCATTGCCCTTTCCTCCCAACCCATTGCCCTTTCCTCCCAACCCATTGCCCTTTCCTCCCAACCCATTGCCCTTTCCTCCCAACCCATTGCCCTTTCCTCCCAACCCATTGCCCTTTCCTCCCAACCCATTGCCCTTTCCTCCCAACCCATTGCCCTTTCCTCCCAACCCATTGCCCTTTCCTCCCAACCCATTGCCCTTTCCTCCCAACCCATTGCCCTTTCCTCCCAACCCATTGCCCTTTCCTCCCAACCCATTGCCCTTTCCTCCCAACCCATTGCCCTTTCCTCCCAACCCATTGCCCTTTCCTCCCAACCCATTGCCCTTTCCTCCCAACCCATTGCCCTTTCCTCCCAACCCATTGCCCTTTCCTCCCAACCCATTGCCCTTTCCTCCCAACCCATTGCCCTTTCCTCCCAACCCATTGCCCTTTCCTCCCAACCCATTGCCCTTTCCTCCCAACCCATTGCCCTTTCCTCCCAACCCATTGCCCTTTCCTCCCAACCCATTGCCCTTTCCTCCCAACCCATTGCCCTTTCCTCCCAACCCATTGCCCTTTCCTCCCAACCCATTGCCCTTTCCTCCCAACCCATTGCCCTTTCCTCCCAACCCATTGCCCTTTCCTCCCAACCCATTGCCCTTTCCTCCCAACCCATTGCCCTTTCCTCCCAACCCATTGCCCTTTCCTCCCAACCCATTGCCCTTTCCTCCCAACCCATTGCCCTTTCCTCCCAACCCATTGCCCTTTCCTCCCAACCCATTGCCCTTTCCTCCCAACCCATTGCCCTTTCCTCCCAACCCATTGCCCTTTCCTCCCAACCCATTGCCCTTTCCTCCCAACCCATTGCCCTTTCCTCCCAACCCATTGCCCTTTCCTCCCAACCCATTGCCCTTTCCTCCCAACCCATTGCCCTTTCCTCCCAACCCATTGCCCTTTCCTCCCAACCCATTGCCCTTTCCTCCCAACCCATTGCCCTTTCCTCCCAACCCATTGCCCTTTCCTCCCAACCCATTGCCCTTTCCTCCCAACCCATTGCCCTTTCCTCCCAACCCATTGCCCTTTCCTCCCAACCCATTGCCCTTTCCTCCCAACCCATTGCCCTTTCCTCCCAACCCATTGCCCTTTCCTCCCAACCCATTGCCCTTTCCTCCCAACCCATTGCCCTTTCCTCCCAACCCATTGCCCTTTCCTCCCAACCCATTGCCCTTTCCTCCTCCCAACCCATTGCCCTTTCCTCCCAACCCATTGCCCTTTCCAACCCATCCCCCTTTGAACGAAGACGACTCTTCGTTCCCCCCTCCACATCTCCTAATTCCCTTTTCCCCTCCCCTTTCCCCCTTCCCCCCACCCTTCCCTCCCTCCCCCCCCCCCTGCCAGGCATCACTCCTCATCGACCGTGCCTCATGGGACATCCTCCGCTTCCTCTCCTCGCCTCTCCCCTCCTCCCTCCCCTTCTCCTCCCCTCCCTCCTCCCCACCCTCCTCCCCTCCTTCCTCGCCCTCCTCCTCACCATCCCACATACCACCTGCACCAGCAGACGCCTCCCCCCGCTGCTGCGCGCTGGCATGCCAGGTAGTGAGGGAGGTGGCATCTGGGGCGGGTGACACCCGCGAGGTGCATGCTGCGCTGGTGGAGGGGCTATCTGGGGCCGTCAGGCGGGCGGCACTGGGGGAGGGAGATGCGCGGGGAGAGGGGGAGGGGGAATCGGGAGGTGAGGTGGGGGAGGAGGGGGGAGTGGGAGGAGAAGAAGGGGAGGAGGGGGGAGGGGAGGGGGGAAAGAGGGGGGAGCGTTGGAGCGATTCTGTGGCGCCGTTTGGCACTCAGCTGGCACTGCTGGCCGGGCTGCACACCAGTGAGTGCTGCGTGTTGACGTGGATTTTGAGTCGACTTAAAAGTTATGCACATTGCATACGCTCAGGTTCTGTGTGCGGGTTCGTGCGGGTGCGTGGTGCATGTGTGGCTGGTGGGTGGGTGGGTGGGTGGGTGGGTGGGTGGGTGGGTATTCACCCTGTCAGCTGTACTTTCATCGTCTCATCACGCACGCTTCCCCTCACGCTCCACACTTTCTGTCTCAATTCTCCAGCGGCTTTTTCCGTTTCCCGTTGCAATGCCACAAGTCCCACCAGCAGTGCTACTGGCACGCCTGTCTTCCCGTTCATGTTACTCTCCCTTTTTCTCACAGCTTCTAGCAGTGCAACTCTCCCTTCAGCCCCTGCCTGCCTCACAGCCTTCTACTTTTCCACCCATGCTCGCATTCTCTTCCGTTTCCCCTCATCGCTCCCATCTCATCGCTCCCATCTCATCGCTCCCATCTCATCGCTCCCATCTCCGCGCCTCCTTGCCTCCCATTCACCAATCTGCTTTCCTCGTCTTTCTTCTCTGCCTCCCTACCCACCTGCACCCCCGCACCACCCCCTTCCCTCCCCTTTTCCCTTCCCCGACAGCTCTCCCCCGCATCCCCCGGCAGCGCCATCGATGTTTCATCAACTTGGCGCCGCTCCTGTGCTCCCATCTCTTCTCTCTCCTCCCTTTCCAAAACCCCCCCTCAACCCTTCCCCCACAACCCTTCCCCCACAACCCTTCCCCCACAACCCTTCCCCCACAGCTCTCCCCCGCATCCCCCGGCAGCGCCATCGATGTTTCATTGACTTGCCACCTCTTCGCCCTCCCTGCCACCTCTTCGCCCTCCCTGAACATAATGGCTTCCCTCCTCCCCACCCCAATCTCTCCCCCGTCCATCCCTTCCCCTTCCCCCCCAGCTCTGCCCCGCATCCCTCGCCAGCGCCATCGGTTTTTTGTCGACTTGGCGCCGCTCCTCCTGCACCTCGCCCAGCGCGCCTCTCACAGTGCCGTGCTGCCATCTCACCACACACTGCTGCCCGCACCACTATCACGGCCATCACCCCACACACACACTCCCCGTGCTTCCTGCACCACCTGCTCTCAAACTCCCAAATCTACTCCTTCTCTCCCCTTGCTCTCCCCACTCTTTGCTGAGCTCTTCCTCCCCCCGCCTCCTCCCAGCCCCTTCGCTCCACCACCACTGCTCCCCACCCCTTCCATCACACCACCCATGCAATCCCCTCCGACTGCCACACCGCCTGCTCCCTCCCTCCCTCCCTTCCCTCCCGCCACTCGCTCCATGATTCCACCCTCACCTCACTTATCTCCTGCCATCCCACCTCCCAACCCCACCGCACCTGCTCCCACCCCTTTCGTATCTGCTCCCACACCACCTGGTCCTGCCCGCACCAGCACTCCCCCCTTCCCTCCCGGCACTCACTCCATCATCCCGGACCTCCTTCAAACTCCCAGCAACAGCACAGAGGCAGCATGGCTGGTGTGCCACCACTGCATGCACCTCGTTCTCACTGCAGTCACACGCGCTATAGTCCCACCCATCATAACCACTTCCACTGCGGCTGCACACACTGAAACCTCCTCTCACCCGCAAGCCTCCCCCCAGCTTCTCCTGGCGGCCCAAACAGCCACGCTGCTGCTGCTCCTCTCTCTCTCCCGCTGCTCCGCCTGCCTCCTCTCCATCCTCTCCTCCCATCCCCCCTCCCCCTCCTCTCTCCCCTCTAAACCCTCACCCCCTTCACCTCCTGCAGTCCCAGCCCCCTCCCCCGCACCCTCCCCCACGCCCTCCCCCACTCCCTCCCCCGCACCCTCCCCCGCACCCTCCCCCGCACCCTCCCCCGCACCCTCCCCCACTCCCTCCCCCGCGCCCTCCTGTGCCCCCCCCCTCCCCCTCATCTCCCCAGTGGTCAGCGCCCTGGCTGCCCTCCACTGCCGCCTTGGCGCCTTGTGGCCTCTGAACGCGCACCTTGGGGAGAGAGCACCTGCAGACGCGCCTATGAGCATGGGCGCAGGCACAGACGTACGCGTAGGCATAGGCAAAGGCACAGGCAGAGGCACAGGCGTTAGCAGCAGCAGCAGAGTAGGTGTGAGTGGTGGTGCAGACAGCAGAACAGCTGGGGCTGACACTACCACGGCACCCTCTCTCCTCCCCTCAGTGGACCTTCTCTCCCTCTCTGTGTGCCCGCCCTCTGGCCACCTTCACGACTGTACAGTTGCTGCTGCACCTGTTCCTGCGTCTGCTGCTGCTGATGCTCCTGCAGCAGCCCATACGGATAGAGCTTTGGGCGGCAATGCTTGGCTGGGAGCAGTGAAGGCTCTTCTGAGGCCAGATGAGGAGGAGGAAGAAGAAGAGGACGAGGAGGAAGAGGAGGAGGAGGAGGAGGAGGAGGAGGAGGAGGAGGAGGAGGAGGAGGAGGAGGAGGAGGAGGAGGAGGAGGAGGAGGAGGAGGAGGAGAGGAGGAGGAGGAGGGAGAGGGTGGTAGGGCAAGCAGGGAAGAGAAGAAGAGGAGAGAAGCGGAGAGGTCGAAAAGAGAAGCAGAGTGGTTGGGTGGGTGCAAGGGGAGGTGGAAGGGGGAGTGGCGATGCTGCTGTTATGGGCGCTTCTCCAAGCTGCAAAGCCTCACCCCACCACCAGTACCAGCAGCACCAGCACCAGCAGCAGCAGCACCCTTGTTGTGGACCGCACCACTCTCATGACACTGCTCCGCTTTGCTCCTTGCCTCCTTGCTGCCCGCTCCCCAGCTGGCTTTTCAGGGAGAACAGGAGGAGTGGGCGACGTTGTGTTGAGAAGGGTTGCTGGCATACGATTGGTTCATGCTGCTCTGGATGCTTACACCTCCTCGTACCCTCCCTCACACTCTCCCTCTTCTCACTCTCACTCTCACTCACACTCTCAACCACACTCACTTACAGACAAACACCCATTCACTGACAGTAACGACTCCACTGCTGTAGAAATAGTGACACGTGTCGCGTCGTCATTGGCCGGCGTGATGATGTCAGCGGTCGGCTCATCAGCGCTGCGCCGGGCGGCACACCGCGCCATGCTGGCAGTGCTGCGGGCGGCAACAACAGATGAGGAAAGGCTGAACTGCGTGAAAAAACTTATTGTGGAATACAGAGAAGAAAGCATGCTGGTGAGTGCGGTTCAGTGTTGTGAATGGTGCAATATGTGTGGGATGCTCGGTCCTGCCACGATCCCAAGGGGTGTCAGATACCTCGCATTCAGGCATGTCACGGCACCCCATGCCTCTCTTTTCCTGTTCTGATTTACATTTTGCAACCCTGTTTCCCTTCCACATCCTCTCACCCTCCCCTTCCTACCCTTCACCATCCCCCCTCGCCTTCCTTTCTCACTTCTCATCTCCTCCATTTCCTTCCCCCTTCCATTCTCTCCCCCACGGTCCCACCTCCCATCCCCTCCTCCCCCATCCACCCACTCCGCAGGTGGCTCTGCTCGTGGCATTCGCCAAGGACGAGGTGGACCGAGCATGGCCTCGCTTGCTGCACCCTGCACCATCCACGTCAGCACCACCATCCACGTCATCCCCACCTTCCACATCAGTCCCAATGTCACCACCACCAGGATCACCCACTCGCTCTCGTCCCCACCACCTGCTCTCTTCTCCCCCTCTCCCCGCCTTCGTGTCTCCAGCCGTTCTTTCTCTGCTAGACCTTCTCCTTGACCCTTCAGCTTCATCTCCCTTGCCACCGCTGGCATTCCAACTGCCGGATCACTCAGACGCCCTCGCTGCAGGGCTCAACCTGCTGCGCTTCCTGCTCCTCAGAGAGCAGCAAGCTGCGAGGGCAGGGGGCTGCCTCAGAGAGCAGCAAGCTGCCCCCACGCCCACTGCCTCTCCTGTGACTCCCATGCCTCCCATGGCATCCATGGAACAGCAACCATCTACCGCACTCCACACCCCCACATCGCTCCGCACCAAGCCCAGCCTGCTTCGTGCGCGCAACTGCTGGCTGCTGCCTCTGCGCTCCGCCGCCCTCGCCGCCCGGGCCTCCCTCGAATCCAGGAGACAACGGGTGGGGGGCAGCATGGGAGGGATGGGATGTGGACATGGCGATGAAGGAGAGGAGAGTGGGGAGGAGGAGGATGGAATGGACGGGGAGGAGGAGGGTCAGATGGATCAGCAGGCATGGGTGCGAGAGTGGATGGGAGTGGAGACGGTGCTGTCGCTGGTGGCGCGATGCCTGGAGCTGGTGGAGGCAGACCAAGGCGTGTAGAGGGGTGTAGAGCTCTATGGGTGTGTTCAGTTCAGGGTACTGAAGTGCGGATGGAAGTGGATGGGAGCGGAGTGGAGACGGTGCTGTCGCTTGTAGCCCGATGCCTGGAGCTCGTGGAGGCAGACGGAGGGGTGTAGTGAGGATGTGCACCCAGCAGCCAAAGGCTGGTTGGGCATCTTTATAATGGGTCGGATGGGAGCGGTGTGGATAAGAGTGGATGGGAGTGGAGATAGTGCTGTCGCTCATAGCCCGATGCCTGGAGCTGGTGGAGGCGGACGACGGGGTGTAGGGTGTCCTGTATATGCAGCAGCCGAAGGCTGGTTGGGCATGCTGATAATGGAGTGGAGAGAGACGGTGCTGTTCCGCGTGGCCCGGTGCCTGTACCTAGTAGAGTCAGATAGAGGGGTGTAGGGGGCCCTGTGTATGCAGCAGCCGAAGGCTGGTTGGGCATGCTGATAATGGAGTGGAGAGAGACGGGAGTGGATGGATGGGAGTGGATGGGAGTGGATGGATGGGAGTGGATGGATGGGAGTGGAGACGGTGCTGTGCCCAGGTGGCCCGACGCCTGGAGCTCGCACGCGTGCACACACGCACGCACCCACTTGCAAGCAACTCTTTCATTTTGCCATTCTTAATAGCTCTGAGTTGCATTTTTGTGACCCAGACGGCCCATTTTGCGGCTGCCTGTGCCATCAAAGAAATATTTAAGGGTCAAAAACAGTCATCTTTTCCAGAAGCATCAACTCTGATCCAGAAACCATGCTTTTATGAAGGGAATAAATTTCCAACCTTTTTCCAGTGCTGGAACAATCTGAGCAAGACCTGGACAGTTCCATTGCTATTGACATTCACGATCACCAATGAAGTGGAGAGACTTGATGCACAACACTATCACTTAAGTTGGATGGTGTCATCTTGTAACTACATAAGACTGGGTTTCGGCAGCAAGGTGCTCAGCAATCTTCAGAAGTTCCACCTCAAGACTTTCCCCTTGGACCATGCCATTCTTCATGTCCCGGACCTGCGCATCCACCTTAACAGCAGCACTGAGCTGGTATTTTCCCACCACTTCCTCCCTGACAGCCTGCAGTTGGTTGGCAATGTCCTCCATGCTTGGGCGGCTTGCAGTGCACTCCACGGTGCAGCTCACTGCCAGCTGAGCCACGCGCAGTACGGCATCAGCAGGGGCGTCCATGCCCGCTGCCGTTAGGCTCGCTGCCGTGCCGGAGGCCAGGCACTCTTCCACCTGTTTGCAAGATCAGGGAGTGGATCGGGGTGAAAGAATTTGCAAGAAATGGGTGAGGAGTTACTGAGTGACCTGTTTCTATCTCTTCAATTACGAGCATAAATCATGGCAAAATGCCCAGCAGGCAAGATGCCCAGCAGGCAAAATGCCCAGCAGGCAAAATGCCCAGCAGGCAAAATGACCAGCAGGCAAAATGGCCAGCAGGCAAAATGGCCAGCAGGCAAAATGCCCAGCAGGCAAAATGCCCAGCAGGCAAAATGCCCAGCAGGCAAAATGCCCAGCAGGCAAAATGGCCAGCAGGCAAAATGCCCAGCAGGCAAAATGGCCAGCAGGCAAAATGGCCAGCAGGCAAAATGGCCAGCAGGCAAAATGCCCAGCAGGCAAAATGGCCAGCAGGCAAAATGGCCAGCAGGCAAAATGGCCAGCAGTTGGTGCTCGCTTACCCACGAAACGATATGTCTGCTCTCTCCAGCAGACTCAAAGGGTGCAGGACGCCCGGTGAGCACCACAAGCATGAGCACACCAAAGCTGCAACAGGAGAACGGCAGTAAAAACAACAAAGTTGGTGACTTTATTGAAGGTAGAGTCATCAACACTCCATGCTAGTAAAATCGTTGTGTTTTCTAGTGCCCATATAGTGTAGAACAGACCATGTGTACGCACCTCAGATGGATCGACTTTCATGTGTCTCGTGGCTCACCTATAGACATCAGTGGCTGCGGTTGCCTTGGACGTCCGGTTGTAGATTGGATCCACATAGCCCGGTGTTCCCATCACTCGAGTGGTGCCTACCGTCGTGCCCTCTCCGACCCTCACAAGCCCGAAATCAGCAATCTTGGCCTGGTGTGTGATTGGATGATAACATCAATCTATATAAAAATAATGGTTTTGATGATGGTTTACGAACTAAAGTACAAATAAAAATATTACATGAGATACCACACACAAGTAAGCACTTTTCTTGAATTTCCTTTATGCATCCACTCTTCTGTTTATTCATGCATATCCCTTCGTTGCATTCATCATGCTACTTTGAGGCTCCAGTTCTAGCTGTTTCTTTGCAATCAATTTTGGTGACCAAAATACAGTGCCTAATTGCAATTGAGCTTGCCTGCATGTCGTTGGTGATGAGAACATTGGCAGGTTTGATGTCGCGATGCACAATGTCAAAGCTGTGGAGGTACTCAAAGCCACGTGCAGTGCCGATGAGAATGTCCAGCCGCTGCTGCAGACTCAGAGGAGCAGGGGCTTCTGCAAACAATGAAGGACAGATTTTGTGACAAGGGTTGACAACATGAGTGGGGCGGACACAACATGGTGGTGTATCTCCATCCACATCAAATTGGACCCAACATATATGCACCCAAACCCGCGGGACCTGTGGTTTGCAGCGGAAGCATTCAAGATGGACACAGTCAGCCGCATGCGGGTGCTTATAGAACCAAATGTATCGAGGCAAAAAGCTCAAAACTGTGGCAAGTAGTCCGAACCTGAGACAACATCAATAAACCAAAAAGGATGATGAACAGCAAACAACAAATAGCGCAAATTAGCTAACCTTATTCTGTGAGTGTAAATATGTCGTTACATCAACATCGTATTAGGCTCACAACCCCAGGAAAGTTATGAATACGCCCGGGCCAGTTAAACCTACAACAATCAACAGATTCTGCGGACTTGAGCATTTTTTATTAGATTCCTTTTCATATGAGTGCATATACATCGTTTCCTCACCCACCTATTCATAGCAATTATAAACAACAGAAAACAAAACCAAAACGTCTCTTATAGTGCATTTACATTATTAGGGCAGGTGTATTACGTGTCGTGGTCAAAGCCCCAGTTCATTGGCATGACATGCAGCTACTTTCACTCACCTGGATCGATCCACCTGTGGAGGTCGCCGTTGGGCACAAACTCGTAGATCAAGATCTGCTCTATTTTGGACCTTACATCCCCTCCAACCGCAAACCCAAGCAGCCGCACAATGTTGGGATGGTTTTTGTCAGCCATTTGCAGAATCTGAAAGACGAGAACAAAAAGCACCGAAGAAAAAAAAACAGAAATCGATGAAAGAGGAACCAAATCTTTACTAGAAAAGCCAAAGAAAGGAATGGACCAGGAAGCAAAGAACCAAGGAGCGCTACAAAACATACTAGACCTGGAGATACGTTTTTTTCTTCGTCTTTTTTTTTTTTTTGCAAACAAGGTTTTTTAAAAAGATATGCCTTGCTGCTTTTCCATAGTCCAGCTCACCTCCCTCTGGAAGTCCATGGCTACGAGCTTGGCACGCTTCACGGCCCAGGGTGTGGTGCCATCGCGAGGAGACACGCCCTTGTAGACATCACCAAAGCCACCCGAGCCAAGCAGGTTGTCCTGGGACCAGTCATTGGTGGCCCTGCGGACTTCAGCCAGAGAGAACTCCGTGCAGTGCGAGGCTTTCAGGCTTGAGCCAAGGCCTGCTCGTGGAGTAAGGGGTGAAATGTCATGAGACGAGTCCGATCGAGACGGGCTTGAATTGGCTTTGACTCGAGCAGATTCCGAGCTTTTTATTAATAGGCTGATGCAGATTCGTCACTCGACTATTTGCCTCGGGGGTGAATAAGTCAGCCTCGATGAACCCGCAGACCTGTGTTTATGTGGGAATGGAAGTAGACTTACCATCTCGCAACAGTATAGGGGATGCTGAGAAAGTATCACTGTTGTGAAAGGGGTGCATACAATACGTTGTGCTGCTGATATGCGGGGAGATGGCATGAACCGGGGTACTATTATTAAGTGGCAGGTCGAGCCTAACAAATCGAGCGGTGGATCTTGACTAAAAAAACTACCAGTCCGGTCGACTCAGCTCAAGTCTGAAATCTTGCTCGTCATTTATCACCATAAAGCAAAGAACAGCACACACGCAAAAAGAGTATAAATTCCTTAAGTGAAAGGTTTAAGGCGGCTATATCTTCCTACCTAGTGGCTTGTGCTGTGTCTTGTGCCTGACGTAGAGCAGCGTGAAACCCAGCAGTAGGAGAGCGACCACAGCAGCAACAACAATGCCAACGATGGCTCCCACTGATAAACCACCTCCACCTCCAGATTCTGCTGAAGAAGAATACTCGCTGCTGTTGTTGCTGCTGCTGCTGCTGCTGTTGCTGCTGCTGCTGCTGCTGCTGCTGCTGCTGCTGCTGTTCGTGATTTGGACTGCACCCAGCAGAATGGAGAAGCATGAGAGGAGCAGTGTGTGAGACCGCGAGGACAACCAAAAAGTTTGCACAGAAAAGGAAGAGAACGGTGGGGCGCCAATTGCAGGTTAGTTGGCACTTTGTGTTTACGTACGCTCTTTGAAAAACGAGCGTACGCTGCATTTCATTAATCGTGGTTAACATTACCACATGCAAGGAACCATAACTCAAATGCCCAACATCAGTACTACACTGGTTCTTGTTACTCGGCCCCATCTCAACAACCTCTCCCTCGTAGCAGCCATGTTCAACCCTATATATATTTATTTTCGAATCTAGATCAGGGTTTTCTAGACCCAGTGCGGTGAAAACTGCAATCGGAGAGGGATCGGTTAGGGACAAGATTGTTGGCAAATTAGTGGGGTGGTGGGGTACGAGTTTCAATTTCGACAAGTGGGGAATTGGAGTAAGAATTGCACTTCCTCTACACAGCCAAACGGCTAGAGTCGAACGTGGCACCATCCAGTTCAACTCAATGTTTAACATATTTCTAGTTTCTAAGCTACAATAGAATTAACTAGGTATGTTGGAACGGGAGATCTAGAAAAGTGGGTCGGCAATTGTGACCCCACTGTCACGTGGTGAAGACCCTTTCCGGCACGGAAAGGCAACAAAACATGAGGTTGGGACGGGTCGATTCGACCCAGCAGGTTGTCAGTACCCGAAGAAAATTGTCAAATTTTGGGTCACAGCTCAACCTGACTCGACTCGACCCATCTGGATCGAGGTCATCCAGTAACCAAACTGATATGAAGTCGGGTCGGATCGAAACCCTAAACCCTAAGTACAACGCGGAAACATTTGCTGAATACTCTAGTCGATAAATTCCACCCAGAGTGAAGCACCCAAAATCAACCAAGAATGACCAAGTTATTTGCTAAAAAAATTTGACAGCATTTATTCTGATTACTAGAGCGATGAAATCCTGGGTCAGGCTCGACTCGAGCAATTCCAGGCTAGTCGAGCCATCAGCTGACTTGCTCACAAAGCCCAAGACAGGAGCCAAGTCACAACACATGTCGGCTCGAATCTTGACTGGACTCGAGAAACGTCTCGTGCGCATGTCTAGTTTGCGGGCTCCATAAAAAAAAAGAGGTGGATTGGCACGCCAACAAAAATGTTCACCTAAAACAGGTACAAGCCCAACACACGTGTACACCCCCCCTGCCAAATACCCAGCAAGTCGAACTAGCCAGACTTGGCATCCTCTAGAATGCCCTTGTTCTGAAAGTGTTGACGGGAATAGAGTGTTGGCCCCGCCCACGCTTGGGCGAAGCCGGCTGCCTGGTCGGGTGCACAGGAGAAGCAGCTGACCGTTTGCAGAGTTCGACGTATGCACGTCGACAGAGTTGGTCGACCTCAGGCGACCGCTGCGACGCCGCCGTTGAAGAGAAGCCGGCCGCCTTGTTTGACAGGGGAGGTCGACGAAGCAGTTCGTCGACCAGCGTGGGATTGTCGCGGAGCCGTCGATGGTAGGAGTCTGACGACTGCACCTGATCGGCGCGGTTGACGGAGGGGTCCTTCGACCAAACTGCTGTTCGACAGGTAGAAGTGGTCGACGGGGGGAGATCGTTGACCAGGACTGTGAGGATCGAGGAACTGGTTCAGAATGAGTTGATTGTCTTAGTTTAGGTATAGCCTCCGGCTAGCGTTGAAGGTAGTAAATACTTGGAGAGAATTTCTGGTTTTCTGGTTCAGGACTGATTTCACTCAAAACAGAGAAGTACACACAATGATTCAAAACAAACAGATTTAAGCATTTTGAATTGTGATGTGCGCCTCGCGTAACGCGTCATCCGCGTTTCAGCCCGAGTCGCACGCGGAACCGATTTCGGTAACCGTCACCGGAACCGAAACCTGTTTGTCCCTTCCGCACCGAACACGGTTCGGTTGCGGTTGGACATTTCTAGGCTACGGAAATGTCGTCTCGACATTTCTTGAACCCTATTCTTCTAGCATTCCGTTTTTCCGTTTTCCTCACGTTTTCCTCCCGTAGTTTCTTAGCATGCAGTTCCACCGATCTAGCCGTCATCTCTCCATATTAGGTCGTAGTTTCCCACCGTTCCTGGTGTTGTTCCACCGTCTCTAGGGCTGGCGCGTAGGTCGGTAGGCACTAGGGCAGTGGCGAACCACCCTAACAATCTCCCCTGTGGTTTGCCAGCTGCCACCCTTCTATGCTCCAGTGGTTACCATGTAACCAGCCTTCTTCTTCCCTTGCTGATCCTGTCCGTAAGATGATGTAGCATCTCGGGTTGCTGCTCCGCTGCTCCCCTGCAAGTCCT